ATGAAGTCCGCGTATACGCTTTGCTATTTTACCGCATACATGTCTGCAGACCGAAATTTGGTATTCATACTTGAATATACACCGTGCGATTTGGTTGTATGGCATACTTGGTTTGCATATATGTACCATCGTTTATATCACAAAAGATAAAGAAAAGAAACTGAGGTGAAAATATCACGCAGTACGAAAATAAAAACCCAATAGCGCATGATCATTTTCCCCACCCGGTCTTGCTATTTTGCCCACCCAGTCCCTACTCACCACGATGCTTGCTAAAATAAGAGCACTTTCCGAGAAACTTTGTTGTTCGTTTTGGTTTTTTGATGTTAAAAATCCCTTAAGACATTTGTTTGTGATATTACACAAAGAGGCACAATGATTCAAAATATCCACTCAGTTTCTTTTCTTTGTTTTCTTTGATTTATATCATGCTTTACATATATTATTCGAGAGATCAAAAAAGAGATCAGAAAGCAGTAAAGAAATAACGCGGCAAACTAGTAAACGGAGCAAGAGATTCCTACTCAATATATATAACATTAATTATGTTAATGATTTTATTATTTCATATAATTTCTTCTTCTGAGATCGGTGCGTTCAGGATTACAATAAACCCAATGAAATGATGAAGTAAGAATAATATTTGCAGAAAAATTTTTGGAATTGATTACACCCCTCACTTTTCACATTTTCAACTTCTTTCAGGTTTCTATTCGACAAGAACAAAATAGAGAAAAGAGCTTAGCAAATGTAAGACAATGAAAACAAAATAATGAATAACGGAACTGGCACTAAAGCTGAAAAAAAAAATGAGCAGGGCTCTTATACGATGATAATTTCACCACAAAAGAAGTGACAAAAATATGAAGGCTCACGCAAAAAACAGGCGTCAGTGGAACAAGTAGGTCCAGTGGAATGACGTGAGTATTAAAAAGTGCTTTGGTCGCTGAGTTTTCGGTGACAAGATATTATATTAATTTAATTAATATAGCTTTTCAAAGGAAGAATTCGAAGAAATGCAAAAGTTTTTGAATTAAAGAAATAAATAAAAATATTCAACATATGAAAAATTATATTAAAAACTTTGCGGCACTTATGCAGTTCAATAGGAGTATAGGGGCGAAGTAGGTTACATGTGGAATACAGTGAAGTGCATTTATTAGTATTAAACTAAGAATTGAACAACAATAAATTGTGATAGAAACTATATAAAATTTGTGAAATGAATTAATTTTTATTACTAGTACTTAATTGAGATAGTGGCTGTTCTTAATAATTATATTACTTTATGATATACTGCACATAAAAAGCTTAACAGGAACAACTTGTTTTTAAATTATTATATTAACAAAAAAGAAAGATTTCCAATTTCATAATTTTTTTTTGTGCGATTTGCAATGCTAATTAATTAAACTTAACGCGATGTCAAAAAATGATGACAACGGAATTAGTATGCCAGCCAGGCAATTTCATAATTTTTTTTTATGCGATTTGCAATGCTAATTAATTAAACTTAACGCGATGTCAAAAAATGATGACAACGGAATTAGTATGCCAGCCAGGCAGAGGGTTTTGTTGCCAAATCCAGTACACACAAACGGGCAAACCAAAAACCGCCTGAAGTTGTACCTAAAAAAGCCATAATGACCTGTGGATCCGGTTTCTCCAACACAAAAAATTATAATGAGATCCTCAGTGAAGATGATGATATTGATTGTGTAGATAAATTTAAAACTCAAGTAAAATCATTGATAGAGGATAAAGCACACATATCTACTAAATATACTGTCCACAAGTTAGACTTGATAATATTGCAATCACGCAATATGATTCTGTGAAGTAACTGGGGATAAATTTGGACCGTAGACTTGCCTGAAAAAACTATATAAAAGCCAATCAAACACAACGAGTAATAACTGTATGTATAAAATTATACTTAAACCAGTATAGACAGTTGCTTCAAAACTTTGCGGCACTGAAAGTACCTTAAATACAGAAATATTACAACAAAATATTGTCAACGCTCCATGGTGCGTATCAAATTACTCCATTTATCAGGACCTGAAAATACCTTTTGTAAGATAATAAATCCGTAAACTTAGAAATGCATATGTAAAAAGACTAACCAGGCATCTACCATAGCTGTGAGGTTAAAGAACTTCCAGGTTCTGAGCCTACCAAACAGAGTTTGAAAATAAAAAGAAAATTAAAAGTAATATAATATGAAAGTTATGTAAGTATGTTCTCTTAGTATGTATATTAAAATTATAATAAGGAAAATGGATTTCCAATTGATATCTCAAAAAGTGAGATAAGCTATCTTGCCTTACTTTTATCCTGAAGGGAATAGTTTTTATACTAGTAATTTTCTATATTTCAACTGGCAGAGCCAACAAAAAAAAAAGCTGAAGCAACTAATCTCATGTCATTAATGTTAAAAATTGTGATGAATATAGAATTATAATTAATTTATGAACTTTTAGACACAATATAATTTATAATAATTTAAATATATTTAATTTATTAATGGTTTAGCTACTATAAACTAAACATGTAATGAACCTTTTCTTAGGTTCGTTTATAGCTGGGGTTGAACTCAGCCGTCGCCAAGGTCCACACAAGAAATTTATTTGGTGAGACCCTGTCACTTCCGATTTCCACGCTGACAATGAACAGAACCGCAAACACCCTGACCGAAATTAAATTGAATCGGTGCTGAAGCGAGCTGAAGATACACGGTGTTGCAAATACTAACTCGCCGTATAGGCGACACGATATAATACAGACACACGTGACTGTTAAAGCTACGTGTGTGGTACCCCGTGTAACCTAGATTCAAATACCGTTGAAGCCCTGAATCTTGCTTACCTATGTCTATGTTATCAACCGTGCCGCTGTATATCTCTACTTGGTTCACCCTTCTAATTCTTCACCAGTCAGAGGAAATTGATAAAGATTATATTTTGTCAATTATGTATTTTCGTTAGCGAACTCCAGTTTTTTTATATATTTATTTTATTTATAAATGAAATTTTACTTTTCATAAGTTACAAGAAAATATTAAAACCTATATATTAGCAATTGTAGAATTCCACTTATAAAACAACAAAAATCAATTCGATGCTTAAGTTTCTTTTGTTTAAAACAAAATTTTATTTTTTCACAGATAAGAAGAAAGTTACTAGAATTTATATATCAACAATTATTTAATTTCGTGTACAGAATCCAGAACCAGAAGTTTTCCTCGTACCTTTAGTCGTCGAACCAAACAAAACAAGAGAGAGCTTCTTCCTGGTGCCCGCACTTTTTATACCGTCAACGATCAACGGTGCCAGCTGTAAACGCGTTAAAGTTCAACGACCGTTCATCGAAGCTCGTTAACTGATGCCTCTGTAATGCACCAGCGAAAGTCCAGCTTTAGGGCGAATTCTGTTTCTTACACATGTGGAAGCTGGAACTTGTTCTTTCTTTAATCTTCGCCCTAGTTCCACACCTTTTCCACAAAAGCTTTCTTCGTTTGACAGCTCGTGTTGTTTTGTTTTGATTTTATTCTATTTTTACAATGTGGTTTTTTTTTTAAAGATAAATTGTGATTTAATCAAATAATTATAATTATAATAAATATATTAATCAATTTAAATAAAAAATAGTGTGTGGACTATAGTAAAATATGAGTATCACTTCCAGTGCTGGAGTTCTGTTGTTGCGGGGTGGGCTGTTGTGGTTTGGTATAACGTGTGGTGATGCTGTGTTGCGGGAGGCTATTGCTTTGTTGGAACCAATGGTTAAATTCGATCCTGTAAATTTTGTTCGTCAAGGTGCATCCATTGCATCGGCAATGATAGTAATGAAGTATACCGATCAAACTTGTCCAAGAGTAACTTACTTTACATTGTGACCGAAAATTTTTCGGAAATTCTCATTTAAAATTCGCGCGCTGTATATTTTTCGATATTTTAAGTTTATGTAGTTTGGCAGCACTGTCCTTAATTACTATGCCAAAAATGAGCGCGATCTGTCAGACAGTTCGTTTACGGCAGCTGTTGAAACCAGTTCACCTCAGTAGTGCGTTGCGAAAAAAACAATGGAAAAAAATATTGAACAAAGAGTTTGCATCAAATTTTGTGTTTCGAACGAAATTTCGTGTGCAGAATCGTTGCGAATGCTACAAAAGGCTTATGGGGAATCAGTTTTATCGAAAACTCAAGTTTATGAGTGGTACAAAGCCTTTCAGGACGGTCGTACGACCGTCGAAGACATGCCGCGTTCTGGACGACCTTCGACCTCTACCACCGACGAAAACATTGAAAAGGCAAAGGAAATCGTGTTCCAAAATCCTCATGTGAGTGTTAGAGAGATAGCACGAGAGCTAGGCATCGGTCGTGAGATGGCTCGTTTGATTTTGGTGGACAATTTGTGTATGCGACGTGTCAACGCCCGGCTTGTTCCGATTCACCTCAATTTGTTCAACATTATCAACGATTTTAAGGCCAAACATTCAATAAATACCATCGAACAGCCACCGTATTCACCTGATCTTGCACCGTGTGACTTTTTCCTGTTTCCCAACCTCAAATTACCACTCAGAGGAACGCGTTTTGAATCCATAGAAGACGTAAAACAGAATTCGCAGAGGGAACTCAAAGCCATACCGGAAAGCGCCTTAAAAAAAATTTGAATGATTGAAGAACGTTGGCATTTGTGTATCGCTTCTAATGGAGCATATTTTGAAGGAGATAAAATAAATATTGATGAAGATTAAGAATTTTGCGTTTTATTTAAAATTTCCGGAAACTTTTCGGTCACAATGTATGTAATTATAAGCAGAAATTATAAGCAACAAAAACATGAAGATGTACTGGCAAAATATGGTGCTATATCAGCTCAAGGTATTCTGGATACTGGAGCTTTGTTGTTGGGCTGCGGTGAGTTGGTTAAGTTAATGTTTTGATATTAATCAACAATTTTTATTACAGGAACTTTCGATTTAATAAATTCAAGTGAGTGTTACTTGTTGTGTGTTAGGTGGTCGTGTTGTGTTTTGTAGGCAGCTATACCCACGGCGTTGTAACGATCGAATTTTTAATTAATAAAATTTTGGTGGTTACAAATATATGGAGTCATACTGTAGATTCTGCGGTGATGAGATTAATGATCAATTACACATGTGCTGTTAGAATGTCAAGCGCTAATGCACTAACGGAATAAACTCCTAGGAATGTATATCCTTATGGAAGATGCAATAAATATCTGTAAAGTAAGTTGTATACTACTTTTTATTTACGCAACAGAACTTAGAGACTTACTCTAAGCCCAGAAGGGGGCACAATAGACCCGATGGTCGCAATATCACACCCGGGCTTTATTAATAAATAAATAAATAGTTTAGCTAATTTCTCCTAAAACTGTACGAAGTAAAATGAGAGATGGCTTATCCAGAAATTTAACATCACCCTACACTCAGTTTTATGAGTTCGTGACGGTAAATAAATAGTCGCATAATTGTTATTGACTGAATGATTTTAATATTGTACATATATTTATTTAATTTAATTTTAATGTTTTTGTGTTGGCTATTAAAACAGTAATCATTGGTTGTTGTAATCAAAAATTGTATTTCCATCTATTAACAAATTCAATATTTTGACCATCTTCGGTGATCATTTTTAGGGATTATAATTATTTGAACATTGGTGTTTGACAATAATTCTTAAAAAGATAGTATTGGTGTATAATTATGTTTATTTTATAAAGTAATATAATTCTAATTAATGAATAAATCCTTTTGGAATCCAATTGTATTAATTCAGTTCTTTCTCTTCATTCATATTACATCGCCGCTTATACTTTTTGCGCTAAAACGTAGTATTTATATGTACATAAACATTTGTCTGGATAATCCATTAAATTAATTTTTTAAATAACTTTTTTTCTCAATTCAATATAAATATTAAAAAATGTACACATATAATACTATTTATCTACATTAAGTTTTAAATAACCGTTTATTTTAATTATTCTTTATTAGATCAGCCTAGCCTACGACATCTGTAAAAAATAATCTCTCCAGAAGCAACGAATATGTTTTCTCCAGCAACTTAAGCAGACAACTTAAACATGATGTGTTTCTGCAGTGATTAAGCATAATGTGCCACGGAAGGATCTGCAGTTTTTTTTACCTTTTGGAAGTAAAAAATCTATATCTTACTTGAGTTTTGGTCCCCGCAGAGCCCGCAATATTGTATCAGATACATCGCAAACGTGGAACAAGTGTAAGTATATTTCTTGACATGAGAAAATATTTTTGAAAGTATTAATTTAAAATTTTATAATTTCAGTAAATTATTCTAAATCGTACATTAATTTATGTGAAATATCGCATATCGAGCAATTATAAACATAAAAACTTAGTTCAGAAAAAATTGATGTTTCGAGTATTAAGACTAAGAAGACCTAGAAGAAAGCATCAAAGTACAATATATGGTGACTAGTTCTTGTCAGATAGTATCAGTTGAGTGCAAACTTTAAAAACAGCAGAAAGAGCAAAGCAATAGTATAACCATCTATCAAATAAGTTTTCTAAACGAGAATTTTTAAATAACTGATTAATACTATGTTACCGGTTACTATCTTACTACTGTTGCAATCTTACACTCTAATAATGTAAACAAAAATTTAAAATACAAAATAATATTTGTTAAATCCATAAGCGATGACTTTGGAGGTAGATGCGAATCCACAAAGTAATACGTTTATGAGTATTTCTATTATAATAATAATATATCTAGTATAAATCAATCTATTTAGTCCCTCTCAAGATAAAAGAAAGTTTTAAAATTTTGGAACAGTTAATTGAGTCTGATCAAGTATAAAGAAATAGATAACTGATTTTTTAAATTCCTTAAATTCTTTTTTCATTAAAAATTCTATAAAATGATAAAAACATGTCTTCAAATTTTATTATAATTCTTACAAACTGCAAGTACTTGATTTATAAATGATATTGTTTCTAACATCACGAAATATTTGATATATTCATAGCCTACGAGTACGAGTATATTAATATAAGTTAATATATCAATGTCTACAGGTCTTAAACTGTTTTTAAAATTTATATGACTTACACAGTTGTAATATTATTTTCAGTATGATGTTGATGCTAATATTTAGTATTGATTCTCTTAAGAACAAAAACACTACGTCAATTAAATCTTTCAGGCGCACTATTTAGAAGAGAATTGTTTTCGAATGAATGAGTGTTTCATTTTAATACGGAAATACAATGATTTAAATTCGCATGCATTAGAATAATAGAATAATTTTTAAATATATACTCGTATTTAAATAATTACATTTGTTTTTCTGTGTTTATATAACATTGTGGTTTCAATAAAAATGTCATTAATATATATGGACAATTTAATAATGTATCCACATTCTTTATTAAACATATTTTTGTAATGATAATGTAATCGGAGGAATAATCACCATTGTCATTGAATACACTTGTGATACATTTACGTTTATCTAATATTTATATATTTATTAACCCATATTGTCTAATATAACATATTACGGGGTACTATTTAAATCCGTATTGAATCCCTATCAGAATAATATTATAATTGTGGTGTAACTTACTTGAGTTTCTTTTATATGTTCCATTTGATTATTCGAATTTATATATATTTATATAAAAATATTTTTAATCACAGTCTCAATCCTAATGTTTCCCCATTTCTGTAACTTGGAAAAGTTTGTAAAAAAATTAAGGATTATTTATTTTAAGTAAAGCCGGAACTAATCTTGCGACCAAATCGTTCGTATTTATTTTCACAATTATTTCGTTGGTCCTTCTATAGAATTAAGAACCAAACAGAGTTACATTACAATTTTTTGCGTCTAGTCTAATTGACAGCTCTAAAGAAATTAGCTTTGCTAATTATTAGTAGTGTAGAGACACGGTATTGATTGTACTTTGGCTTGTTACTTTCAATAAACTCTCCAAGACAAATCTTATTATAAAACGCAATCGATGTATTACATATATTCTAAATATTCGGTTTTAAGACACATTCATGACAGTCTAAGAAGATTGTTCACTTTAAAATGGATTAGATTAAAATTTTATATAAAACTTCTAAAAAATTTTTAAACTGTAACACAGAAGAAACCAATCATGATATATCTTTTATTTTTATTTAAAATCAATTAATAACTTATTTTTCAAATTTCAGAGTAAAACAGGAAACGTTCCATGTGTAAGGACCGAAAATATTAGACAATATTCCTATGGCGCTAATGGAGTTCGACAACAAACTTACAGTTTACAAAGCCATTTTCAGTACAAGTTTACTGTTAGACGATCCATAAAATGACAAAGGTAAGCATATAGTCACTTTGGAAGTACTAAGTAGACTTGTAACTTCTCCATATATATTTCTTTTTATTACAGTCAATTCATCAAAGAATATAAAGAAGTTAAAATCAGTTCATATTTCACTTGCTATTTATGAAGACAATAAAGTTTGCTATATGGGATGGAGATTATAAACGTACATTCACTGTAAAAGAACCAC